TACGGTGAATTTCAGGCAACTGACTACATCGTGTCCGCTTTTACAAAGTTGACTGTCGGCCAGGCGGAGCGGTTTCCAAACCCGACTTGGAGTCATTCGTTATGCCAGCAGTGTTGAACTTATCGCCGACCTCAACGTTTATACTTCAACAGCAGACCTGTTCGACTTAAACATATCATTGCTGAACGAAACTGGCACGAACATTGAGGGGTCAGTGAGGAATCTCTATTGGAAGCTACGACCATGAAAGAAGGCTCGCGGAATCATTCTGCAAGCCTAGCAAAAGTGGTCACAACACTGAACCGCCACCGTAATAGAATATAGCAACTCATCAAAATTCCTATAAAGGGACGCACATACACAAAGGGGTGAGGGAAGTACAAGAACGAAGACCATTCCTCCCACCTTCTCTAAACATAAAGTATATGTCGAACGGGGTGGTACGCTACAAGACCAAAGGCTGAATATTCCTGACGTTTTCATAGAAGCACACTTGACTAGTCATTCCACACTGGGCACATTGCAGGTGCACGTTTTATGAGCAAAGTAGCTGCGAAGCCGCCGCTACAATTATTACTAACAGATGACATAGTAGTTGAATGGCGAAGACCACCCCTATAACGCTCGACGCTCGAATTTCTTGTTCGGAAAATTTGAGCAGTTTAGAGTGGTAGAAAACAGCGAACATCCAGATTAAGGAGACGCTATATACGGCAAGATGGATGGGGGCTGGTGGTAAAGTACACTCGTACACGTGATGCAACTAGGAACAGCTCTTTCTGCGCTGATCGCGGACATTCGAATGCAGGTGACATGCCTTCGTGATGGGCCGATTTACAAGCAGCATGTCACACCCGCACCAAAACTACAGCATCGTGATGTGCGAAATGGTGGTGTAGGTACGATCCCCCCCTCTCAGAGAGGGTGTCAGTACGACCTCCTCCCCACCTAGGTAATGTGTGTGTTAGGAAGGGGTAGGGTCGGTAGGGTCTCGGTACGACCCCACCCCTTCCCAACACACACCTCAATTTCCCACACTTTCAATGCAAGAATTTTTCGTCAT